CCTGAGAGAATAGAAATTTGAGAGGAGGTTACTGATTATCATCTTTGACATCCTTTAACACTTTGCCTATCCTGTGCATCATATGTAATACACAGGACATGTGATTTCCACATCTGTGCATCATATGTGGTGCACACAAGCTATGATTTTAAAAGAGTGGTAAAACTAAGGATGCTTAAGAGTCATATATGGCCACAGGATACTTGACTGATAATGTAATGTCTCAAATGAAAGACATCTATTTTTCCACTTTATTGAAACGATTATAACCTTTGCATCATATGCAATACACAGAGCTAAGTGTAAATAACTTATGATTTGTACGTTCTGTGCATTACATGTGATGCATAGTTTTTTATTATGTGAAACACTATATAATGTCACATTCTATTTGCCAAATAAGCTGAGTTGCCTTGCAATAGTTATAAATCATTAACAGTTTGGATCGTACACATGAAAATGAACGTTTGTATAGTACACATGAAAATGCCCTGGACAGGCAAACGGTTAAAATGCATGGTTTATAAAGGTATTTAGAGGACTACAACTCACGGTAACTAATTCAAACCCTTTAATTGACCATTTTGAGTTTTGGTAGACAGCTCCTATGTCATAACATTCTTGGAATTTTGGACACATGGGGTTAGACTGTTCTCATTCCATTGTCCATGCTTAGGGGATATAATATTAATTCTTCTTAAATTCTCTTTGTGATGCCATGTCTTGTTTCGCTAAACCAGAATATATGAATTTCAAACACATTAGCATCTGGGAAACTGCAACACTTAATGCTTATATACACTAGGCTATTATCCCATTGGATAATCAAGTGAAGGACATTTGGAGTCTTAAACCAGATGTCTGTTCTTTTCTTATCAAAAGCTCCTATATGGTTTTCAATTCTATACTTGGCCTACTGAGAGTCTAGCATGTTTGTTGATTCTTTCAGTCTCCTATATTGTACTCAATTGATTATTCTTACTTTATTCGCTCATTTGTTCACTGTCACTTTTGGCTATAAATACATACAAGGTAATTTGTAATAATAATAAAAATAATCAATTAAAAATTATTTAGGACTGAGCACAAATGTTACAAGTGTTGTAAATTATTGACATCACTTTCACTTCCTTGTTGCCTGGCTGTGCTGGCCTGGTTTGGGGCAAATAGGAATTACCATTTACTTGAATAAATGGCTATAAAGACACTGACAGCAATTTCTTGTGAATATTGCCATTTTGGTTTTGATTGGATATTTTGCAGTACAGACTAAGCTAAACAACATCCCTGATAAAATATAATAAAAATATGCCACAAAACACATTGTATTATAAGCTACTATATGTCTATTTGGAAATAGCATTAAGTGTGAGTTAGTTTATAATATAGATGCTAGCTATCAACATGACATGTTGTCTTCAGAATGTATATATATGTTAACAGCAGGCAATGTAAAGATGTATAAGTATGTCCACAGCAGTGGTAATATTAATTGAAGGTTGTAATTATTCTATGGTATATTGTTTTTATTAATAGCGTTAACATTATTTGCTTCACCTTCGTGACATAAGACTGTTTTTTATTTGTTCTTCTGATGTAAGGTGGGGACACATAGAGAAAATTTAACCTAATAAAAGATTGTTGGTTATCTTGGAACTTGATTCTGATGAATCCTGATATGCCACAGAGAAATTTCTAAGCGATAACAACATTATCTTCAAATTAAATAGAAAATTTCCATCACCATTAATAGAGAAAAGCTGGAAGATGGCAAGGTTTTTGTCTATCTGGGTGGTGACATGAAAGACATCAAGGTTAGAGTGACAATGGCTAGGGCAGCTTTTGATCAGTTGAAGCAGGTGTGGGATGCAACTAACATAAACAGAAGCACCAAGACCCAACTTTATAAGACCTTTGTCATCTTTGTCCTATTATATGGTTGCAAGGCCTGCAGGATGAATCCGAGAGATATGTTTATTGACCTACTTCATAACAACAGCTTAGAGGGCAAGACCATGTGAAGACTGCAGAGAAGAGAAAAATTAAGAATGACACGGCAAAGGAAAGGGAAGCAATAGGCTGGTAGCCATGGAGGTGAGGTGCAAGCGCCAACTGTGGATAGAGCTGAGTAAAAGACATTCTTTTGGAGGTCTTATGTGCCATGAGGCACTTGACAGGCAGGCTAGGTTATGAATGGGAGATTAAGGAACCAGGATAAATTGTGTAGAGCAACATTATACAGTGAAACTTTAAAATGAAACTTGACTTTACTGCTCAGCCCTTAAAGGAACTTAATGTTTTAGTCGAATTCTAATGCTGTTATTTTATATTCTATCAGTGAAATCACATAATTTATACATATTCAATAGATAACTAACTTTTTATGCTATAGTTTGTATACTCAAGGTAGGTTATTTTCTGACAGGTGTTTCATCATTCTAATTATTTATCTTATTTGTCAAACTATAAAATATATTAGACAAAATGTATCCAATGTGTTGTGATTACAAATTGAAAATCAAAGAATCAGGTTGAATTGTATAGAGCAATACTTTAATTATATACTTTTGTAAAATGATTTTGTATCTTATAAGCTGGTAAATTTATATCTATAAATGCCAGTGTCTGTTGCTTTCTAACACAAAACATGTCAGGTTATGCTTTTAGTTTTCTTTACCCATATGTGATAAAAGTGTTTAGATTTATGAGAATATCATGAGAAGCTGAAGCATAGATTACAAAATATAACAAAATTTGATATTATACACAATGGCAGAAAAGTATATTTCCACCAGTAAAACATTAACATATGGCAGGCAATACTCTAGTAATAATAATTCTATGAATGAAAATAAAATACAGATCAACATTAGGTTAATAGACCTGAAAAATGAATCTGAGAAAGTTCCACTTAAAAATAGACTTAACTTCCTCATCTGACACTAAGACAGGTAGTAATATTTTACATATTAACAAAAGCTCAAGAACACTTTAAAAGAAAATGCCTGCCCAAGATAAAACCTAAAACTTCAATAATCTAATCCTTTCAAAATATAAAATTTTGTGGAAAAAAATGAAGCTAATAACAGTTGTATAAGTAAATGTTTGTATGACTTTTGAGTTTAAAAAAAAATAGGTTGTATATTATCACTTGACAACCCCCCCTCCCCCGAAAAACTGAAACCTACAATAAAGTTATGGTTAAACTATTATTAGTATCTCTATATTTTTGAGATGAGGTATTATGTACACTATTTACATTATTTGGACTATTGTCCTCATCTTTGTCGCCATATTTATTACAACGTTTCATCCGTTGTATGCTCCAGCTTTCTTCAGGTGGTTGGAATATTGAACTGAACCCTTTATTTTGCTCACTGGGGTAGATTGTTCTAGATCTATGTGCCATGTCTAATGGATGTCAGTTATCATTTATCTCCTATTAATTCCCCTCTCCAAGTTCTCCACCACCTTAACCAGATATTGAACTCACACTCTTTGGGTCCTGTCACTGGATCTAACCAATGCCTCAAGGATACATGGCACAGTGGATAAAGCCATTGGTTAGATTCAGTGACAGGACCCAAAGAGTGTGAGTTCAATTCTTCCAACCACCTGAAGAAGGCCAGAGCATGTATATAAATATGGCGACAAAGATGAGGACAATAATCTGAATAATGTAAATAGTTAAACTATTATTATTGAAAAATCAAAAGTAGAACATGGAATAAAAATATTTAGAAATATCAGAATAGAAAAGAATGCAATTAGAGAATGATAAAGATATTGTGGTGAAGAAATAAAAATGTTGTCCGAATTGACTTTTTTTCTTAAGTTTTTTAACATTTTAACTTTTATCATTTGAATATTTGTGTAATTAATTTGCAATTCAAAGTCTTGTATGACTTGCACTAATAAGTCTGTATTTTACATATATTTTTCAAAGTTGGGATCCAAAAGTGGATCACTAAATCTATAGAATACAGGATAAGTTTACTGATAGTTTTGTGGTGAGAAAATCAAAGTTCCTAAAAAAAAAATCAGTTTCTATTTTATTCACTAAATTTAAAATGTCTTTTTTTTTAATTACTCATATTCAGTGTTTGTGACTTGATGGCAAGCAGAAGAGGGGGTTAAAATTTTTTGAGGTCTGTTGTTACTGCCTTTCTTAATTTCAAGCAAGAAGAAATGTCTCCTCTCCATAGAGGTCAGTCTATATTATGTGTAAGGAACAAATAAAAGAAAATGCCTTTTATCATTTATATTTGACAAGAGACTGTGATTAAAAATAAAATGTCTGATGTGAATATTCTTAAAAGAACTTTAGATCTGTTGTGTCTTGTGCGGCCTTCATTTTCATTTGCATCCATTGAAGAATGTTTCAGTGTAAATGTTGTAATGAAAATATTAGTCTAAATTGATTGATGAATTGTTGTGTCAATTGATAAATATAGAATTGATTCATCACCATGATTTCCTTTGAACATCTGCGATTTGTTTAAAAATGTTAAACAGCATTCTTTTCTTTCTTTTTTTAAGAAATGAAAAAACGTTTGATTTTAATACAAGTGAAAATACTTATCAAATAAGAACAATTGGTATTTTTTATTTCCTTAACTTTATAAGATTGTTAGATAATTGCAGCCATGGTCCACATTAAAGTAAGCATGTTTTTTTTGTTTTGTTTTTCCAAAGCTCATCACTGGCTTGTATAAAAAAATTTTTTTTAATTTTTTTTTGCACATATTTCAAAACGACTGTTAATAGTGTTGAATTTTTTTTAAAAACTTCAGCCAAGATAGGAAATGGATTAAAAAAACAAAAGGAAATGGAGGGAAAATTGAAAGGTTATTTATTAATTTTATGTTCTATTCAGTGATTAAGGTAATTTTTTTTTACTTTGTTATTGTTGCTCACCATATCTCATCTCTCTTTGTGTCCATCATTCTTCATCTCTCTTCAACTGTCTCTCTGAACAAAGCCTAATTTTGCTGTTGTAGGAAAGTGCCTGGTCGATTTAACTGATGGCAAGTGGATAGTGCAGTCGGTGGACTGGGCTGATAATTCGGTGCCAGAAATTATGCGAGCTGATAAGAGTGTCATAAAATCAGAAGCCATTGTGAAAGAGGAACCGATTACAATGGCCCAATTATGTCACAAAGACATTGCTCTTCCGATTGCCGATTCCTCAGAAAAAGACAAATTTTGTCTATATTACATTCAGAAATAATGAAGAATTTCAGACTGCAGGTAATTTTTCATAATAATAACAAAAATAACCACAAGAACAAAAATCTGAAGAGACAAGAATATTTATGACAAATTTTAATGTAGAGTTGACATTAATAGTAAATTTGTTAACAGATGAAATTTTTCATTCCAAAGATCAAAAGTGGAAAAAAATGAAGTTTTTCTTTTATTATATAGCCAATGTATAAAAATTTTAAATTTGATATTTTTTTTTTTTTTTTTTTTTTTTTTGATTGAAATTAATTTTTTAAAAAAATCTATTAAGAAACTTTTACAATAAGATTTTCTAATTTTATATCTGGTTTTTATTTAAACTAATTAATTTCTAAAACTGTTTACAAGGTCATTTTAGTCTTTTTTTTTGTTATGAAATAGTTCTAACAACATAATCTGCTTACTATATATATATATATATATATGTGTGTGTGTGTATATATATATATATATATATATATATATATATATATATATATATAATATATGTATACACACACACACACACACACACATATATAGTATGCACCAGGTATTTTAGAACAAATTTTAATTTGAGTTAATCATTATTTAACAAAGAAAACAATATATTTTTACAGAATTTAGTACCCACCTTCTTATATGCAATCTAAGTCTATTCAATATAACGACCAGCTTTGATTATGGTCTTGATATAGCTTCTAAAAAGATTACAAGCATTGATCAGGTGTTCTTTATTATATGATATTGCCCATTAGCAGCCTTCAGCAAGTCCTTGGTAGTGTAGATATGCTTGTTGGTCTCCCTCAGTGACACTCCAGAAATAATAGTCTGTATGGTTTAATTCAGGACAGCTCAAATATTAGGTGGCAACATAAACATGAAGTTTGGTCTGTTATGTAAAAAGGAACAGTCTTGCTGGTACATGTATGCCTTCCCCATAGCTACTTCTTTGATCCTGAACTTGACAATGGTATCCAATATGGTGGTAGCATTAACTCTAAGGCCTTATGAGGAAAAGTGGGGAGGCAAGACATGGCCCTCATTGCTCACAACCTCCAAGACCATCACAGACAATGCAAACTTGCTGTATATAATAATAGAGACTTCAGTGGGGTCTGAGGCACAGTCACCTGTCATTTGTTCTGTTCACTTTTTGATCTTGAAAAAAAGTCCTTTACATCTGAGAAAAATCAGATTGTGTTGGGCTGCTCAGGATGCATGATTTTGTTTAGCAAGTGCTTTGACCAGAAAACGTTGTTCTCCCAAGTACTGCTGGACATGAATTGATCTCTTTTCATAATGTAATGTTTATATCTGATTTCTTTGTACAGTGTACATCTGATTGTTGACTCCACTATATGGAGCTGAGTGGCAATGGCTCTCAGTGATTTCTTGTGGCCCTTGTTGATGATACCCTGGACTTATTGAACAAGTTTGACATTCCTGACAATGTCTGATCATTGAGAATATTTTTTTTTGCCATTGTGTCTTTGAAGACACATTCTTGTCAGAGACCTGGATCTCTTATCTTAAACACAAAAGGTCTGGCAAAAAATTAGTGTGGTTGGGGTCTAAAGCAGTAAGAGTGGCATGCCTTTTCATCTGCATGAAAGCTAAAACTCTTCCATGCAAGGGAAGGGGATGAAAAAAGATTTTTAGTTGATATATAATACATATTTAGTCAGTAAGAATTCATTTAAACAAGTTTTATTAAACTCAACCAACAAGGTATGTTTAATTTTTGCACAACTGGATCTAAATCATGGTTTAACTTTTGAAAGTTCATGTTTTTCTTTGAGTACTTTTAACCATCTTCGTCATTATCAGGAACTAAATATTGTTGCCACTGTTGTAGTCAAGAATTTGTTAGCTACATGCTAGCATTTTGGGGAATGTTACATTTAAAGATTAAATATGAAATCCATCTGAAGTTATGCAAATTGCATAAAGATCAATAATTTGAATTTGCTTCAAAATTTTTTTCCAAATTTTAAATGATTAATTTAGATGTCAAAACAAACCTTTTTGTTAACGTTATTGGATTTATTATAAAAACTGCAGTCTGAAGTTATTATGCAGAACCAGAAAATTACTATTCAATAACAAGGTATTAAAATCATCAACAATAGATCAACACCTATAATAGAACAAATAACAAACATGTGGTAAGTCTTTGAAGCATTTACATCTTAATATAATGACCCTTCTTCTCAATAACAGCCTGCAATCAGTTATCCATTGATTTTGTTAATTTCTTTTAATTCAGCAAGTTCAATTTCCAAGATGGTGGTTTTAATTGCATCCTGTAGCCCTGCTTTGCTATTGTTTGCCACCTTCATATTATTTCATCTTCACAACTGATCATTTTTCGATTAGATTCAGATTAGGACTTGATGGTAGCCATTCCATTATCTTTTCTCCTGTAAACCTTTTATGCTAAAAAAATTCATGGGTAACCATTGATACATGAGAAGGAGTATTGTTGTACATAACCCACACTTCACTTTGAATCTGTGAGGCTGAGACTTGTATCATTCAAAGAAATTCTTGTCCATGAATTCACTTGGTGCCTTCTTTTAGCTACAGATAAAATCCATCCTTTGGCTCATCCATCAGGTCCATCAAGTGTCACCCAAAATTCATTTGTGAAAATTACTTCAGAAAAGTCAATTTTCATGTATTACTTGGCCCAATTTTGTTGCTTAAAATATTTGCTTTACTGAGAGATTTCTTGACAGATCCCAATTTGCAAAGTATTCTACATGTTTTGTCCTTGACTTCCTCAATTCCAGCCTGCTTAAAGATCTGAGCACTGGTCAAAAGTGGTTGTTTTTGCTAAAACTCACTTTAGTTTATGTTCCCCTTGAAAAGACAAGTTCTTAAAGACTTTTCCTTTTCTTCTAGTTCTCAACTTAGTTATATTTTCAACAGCAGTCCTCTTTATTGTTCAATGATCTTTGCGAAACTCCTCTGATATAACCAACATAGACATGCTCTCACTCAATAACTTTATTTTCTGTTTTTTCAGCATTTGTTAAATGCTTTCCATTATCCACTAATCAAGCTTTGTTTTTGATTAATCATTTAAAATTTTCAAAAAAATTTTCAAAGCCAATGTGAGTTATTAAGGTTTATGTGGTTTGCATAATAACTTCAGACGGACTGTATATGTGCATGATATATAGAAAGGTTTCATGGAATTTGACAACATCAGAAATGAGTATATTTTATACATATGATAATTATTTTATATGCATTTTATAATACTCTCTCTGGTGAATGATATTTAATGGAGGTTATTTCTTTTGCATAATAACTTTGACTATTTTGAGTCTTTCCTTGCAATAAGTATTTTGCTATTATCTACTAATATTTGACAGTAATAGTTATATTTTGGTTGTGATGCGATGGTCAATATGTGCACAAATTGCACTAAATTTCAATAAGTGGCAAGTTAACCTATGAGACAGTGAGGTGCTTTTGTGACCAATCTAAGAATTTAATGTTGTTATATGATTATTGGTATTAAAAGATAATGAATATTAGTAAATAATACCAAAATGCTGTACAGCACACACTGTAAAGAAAGATAAATTACTCAAAACTATTAATATACAAATGAAGCAACCTGCACAAAATAAATTTTTTCCCCACAAGAGATGGCATTTTAAAATATTTAAAATGCATATAAAATAATTATAATGCATATAAAATATTTAATATACTCACTACCAGTGTTATGCTATAATGTAGCTTATATGTATTCAAATTTAAAATGTAATGTTTCCCAGAAAGTCAGGATGCAGATAACAAACTCATATCTACAATAGTGACAATGTTTAGTTTCTGATATTGACAAAACTGTTGAAAATACTTAACAAAACAAAAAGAAAATCTGAACTTTGGACAGCTTATCCACAATTTTGATCTGGGTGTGCAATAACTCATTTGAAAATTAGAAAATACAACAATAAATTATACAGACAGGCCTTGTCAGTTGAATTTAATACAACTTCTATATGTGTGCACGTTAATGGAAAACAAAACTGCAACATGCTGAATATGTGTTTCAAGATTACATGTACAAGTAATATTGCTGGATTTCAATAAATGAGCTTATATACATATCAGGATAGGCACACATTCCAAAATAACAGAAGTCTGATCTCATATTAATGCACACTCTATCCTCTTTGTGCATTAACAAAAACCTGTACTCTCACATGCATATTATCATACAGCTGATGAATACCATTCTGTGATACACCTCTTACACTTGCTGATGCAATGCAGCAAGAATTGTAAATGTGCTGGTTTGGTAAGTTGGCATATATATTGCAGCATGGGCATAATGTTGGCAGGCATTATTGTGCTAGAACAGTATGTTGCCTTCCTGTTTAAAGAATATCAGCTGAATTGGTTGAACAGAGTTCTGAATGTACATTCCCTTCACAAACTACTGAGTAGGTCCATGAAGTTTGTTGCTAATGGCTATTCTTCTGAAGCCCATGAGATCTATACAGGCATGATGATACCATGGCTTACAGTGCACCTCCAAAAATCTAGATGACCAGAACCTGTCAGCAGATCTCTCTTCTGATTTAGCTTTAACAGCTCAATGGAGAAAAAAAACTGGCTTGTAACATGCAATAGCTGTAAAAACAAGTTATTAATGTCCTATCATCACTGAGCAGACTCTGAATTTTCTCCAATCATGATGAATGGTTGTACTATCAATGATGTTCCTTGCCTTGAATGCTTTGAATGTCTATTGGGGCTTGAGTTCATGCCAGATCTCAGGCAGAATATATGCAATTCACCGCTAAAAATGCTGGAAAAATGGTTAGTTTCTTTTGCCATTTTAGAAATTATTTACTCCTCCTGTCATGATCTATCTTTACAAAAGACAGATCAAACCAAAAATGGAGTATTGCTGCCATATTTGGGCTGAAGTTGCCCAGTCCTCACTTTCCAGTATTGACAGTTCAAAAGCATTTAAATGGCTTTGTGTACAATCAATTATT